ATTGATCAGCACATGTAAATACGCGCTATATAAATTGGTAAATTATTATTATTAGTGTGAAGAGTAAAACTTAGGGTGCTGTAACCCTATTATGGATTTTCAAACCCACAATACTCCACACCAGACCACAAATTAACCCTTTACACCCTGACATCAATGACCATATTTATCATTCCCCATAATGTCTATACATTTCCTTTGAACTAGACAAACGTGATTAACAATCAAAGCCTCTAACGGTGGTGATCTTTCTTTTAGACTCATGATCTTTATAAATCATTAAGCAGTATTATACTGTAAGAATAAACTAGATGCTGGTGACTCTTATGACCAGGGTTAAAATTGTTAAATTCTGCTTTCTACTAGCTTAACCATGCAATGTATGCTAATGATTTGTGTCTGTCTTTTTTGCATCTATATTTCCTTTTCACCCTTGTTCATATAATTTACTTACTACAACAATATCATTATTAAATATTATCACTTTATTGTAGGCAAGCTTGTCATGTTTTCTTTTCAAAAAAATGAATGTCATAATGTCACAATTTTTTCCCCAAATGTTATGAGTGATAAGGTCCATTTTAGGGCAATTAATGCTCCAACTTTGTTATATGCTATACTACATCAAAAAAACTTAAGACAACATACTTAACAGTGACTATACTGTAAAAGTACCTAGATAGAAAATAGTCCATTTTAGGGTTTTGTGTGTGGTTGCCAAGCCTTTGAACAGGGGTGAGGCTTAGGGTGACCTTGTCATGATAAAAACCTTACTGCTTTCAAATGTAAATTACTTTCTTATCACCCTATCTAGATACTAGTAGTGGCTGATCCATTAAAAATGAGGGCATCTTTAGTTTGTAGAGTGCCCTCTAAACTTCCCAAATGCTTTATATCTGTATATACATCAATGAACACACAGCTGACGTATGAACCAATTGTCAATCAGTATGGTACTTTGTATGTGTGAGAGGAAGTTTAATTTTTCTTTGCTTGACAGTACACACATCATCGGCAAACTCAATGGGAATGTAACACACACTTGCCCAACTGAAATCCTTCAGAAAACATATGAACTTAGTGGTTTTGTTGTAAAGGGTGTTGAGAAACCTTTGGGGTAAAGGCTATTACTACATTCCGTGCACACAAAATCATTAACTTCTAAGGAATGCATCATACATACAAATGTTGAAGTGGGTTGTTTGCTAATGGTACCAGGTTGAAGTTAGTATAATAAATGAGACTTTGTGAGATTAACAAACCGCTCCTTTTTATACTAGCCCACTGGCTGCACAATGAGAGAAAGACTACAAGAAACACATTAAGAAAGAATATATAGCACACTCTTCCTTTTCTGGCTGAGGAAGGTTATTTTAGCAGATGTAAGGTTTTCCATCAGATTGCTCAAAAAATCCTTGATCAACATTTGAGTCTTGCTTTATATTCAATCTCAAGATCTATCTGCCCAGTGATGCATGCATATTAGACATAAAAGGATAACAAACATAACTCTGATTGACAAAGAAGAATTTTTTATTACTAAAGGAGTTTCATTAAAAGATGCTGGTTTCACTTTGTTTGTGCATAGGAGAACACACAAAGACACTGATCTGCCATAACTGGTTAGAAATTTATATTTAGCGTCAACCAAAAAAAGTCATATAAACGGACGAATTAACTTGTTTGTCTGTACAATTTGCACAAGATGAAATAATTTAATTTATTTAACCACACGGGATAGAAGTGTACAGTGATAAATACATTTTAATTGAAAGGACACCCATTTCTAATTTTTTTATGTCATCAGAAACCATATCAAATGAAAGCTTTTAAAAGCTTTCTTGAAAACTAGATTTCTTTTTTCATTCTTAACAAGTCTATTCTTAACAACAGAAATAATTCTGTTTAGAACAAAGAGTTAGTTTGGAACCATTAAAATGAGCTGTTCAAGTGACAAAGATTTGAATAACAATGTTGGTCATAAACCGGTATCCCACCTGGCTTAATATTGTGAAATTACTCAAACGACCTCATTTTTTTTCTTTGCTTTTATGTAATTATTTGAAAGAAAATCAAAAGCAAGGTGGCAATTTTAATACAAGTATGTCCGATAAAAAGCTTTCTTGAGAACGCAACATTTCAAATTGCTATATATGTTTCTAATTTTAGACGATGGTAAACGAAAGATATCAAGTTCCACATGAGCAATTCAAAAACTCTAAAATTCGTGCTATCTTTGCAATACAAGCCCTTGATACTAACTGTTGCGAAAGCAAAGAGATCGAGTTTCGTACAACTTAATACGTCCATTGTCATATTTATTCAAATCAAAAACAAATGTTTCATTGAGACTTCTCATCGCCCTTTTGTTGCCGTCGGCTATCAGTTTGTGCGGAAATTTACATTCACCTTTATTTGTACTATCGTTCGTTTGATCAAAAACTCTTAACTTAGTTGGTGTATTCATTTCCCTAATCTCGTAGGAGAAGTGGATTAAAAAGATTTTCTTCGGAGGAAGGCTCATTTGAATTTTTTTTCCCTCTAATCAATATTGACATGTGTTGTCATATTTTTCGACATTCAATCTTTTATTGAAATGCTCCGGGAATCAATGCAATTTGTTATTTAACGAACTAACAAAACATTCCTTACTGTGCTTCCTTTCAGCTGGATAAAACATCCTCAGACGAAACCCAAAATGAAACATAAGTTTAAACCAAACCTTTCAGTTTTAATTTAGCCCCCAAGACAACGACACGTTTAAACAAATGTATCGCTAGGAAGCTAAAAGTCTACAAAATACACACGAGGGGTTAAGTTGATGCAAAGCGCATCTTGCATTTAAGAGACTGACAGTTTTTTCAATAAACTCAAGACGACAAGATTTCTACGATTCGCCAAGCAGGTTGTTCGTGGTATTATTCTACGATGGTAAACGCAATTTCAAAACTATCAAAACTTACAACAGACAATAACATCGTCAAAATAATGCAAGGGCAAGTGCTACTTAGCCCAAACTTTGATCGCTTACCTACACTACCCAGATATGCCACTGCTTTCTCGCTTGCTTTCGCCAGGGAAGCGGTAAACTTTTCGGCACTGAAAATAAAGAAAAGAGCTCAAATTAACATAGCTGATTTTCATCCGATAAAATAAATACAGTGCGGACGAAGATGACAGCATCGCGTCGACAAATTGGCGCTTCGATCGTACCTTACTCCGTTTTCTGTGTCCATTTCCTTTGTGTGACAAAAGAACCAGCTGAATTCACTGCTTCACTTATTGATCAACATCTTTAGAAACTGAAGAGAAGAAAAGCGTCCATATCACAAGTTACTCAGCATTGCCAACAGGCTCCATATCAATAACAAATTCCCGCGCGGGGAATTGAGACCCTGTAACCTTGGCGACCGTTACGTCATAGACGTGAGTGAAGCCCCGATGAGCGAAGCAATCATATTCGAGTCGTCACTGTGACTCTGATTTTGTTGGTGAAAGATTAGCCATAACAATCGAATGGCATGGAAAAAAAAAAGGTAGATATTTTTAATTTTTTACGGAATGGGGCTATTGAAAAAATATTATATGTTGTGATTGAGTGGACGAGATATCACACTTTCATTTTCCAAGATCTTATGTAACTTCCGCATTGTGCGACGTTGTAAAGGAAATTAAAAACGCGAATTGTCACCAGATCGTGAAGAGGCCTTGGGCTACATCTTTCAAAGTAATTGACAAGTTTCCTCCCTTTATGCAAAAATAACTGATGCAAACTAATCCATTGCTTAGTTATTTGACACATTAGTATCGAGGGGGTTGGTACAGTGGATTGGTGCCATTTTGCCCACGAATATCAAACATGCAAAAGCCATAAAATTCAGATTCTATGAAGAGCAAAGAATTTGGCACACAATATGGCTCAACAATTCAAATATGAATTTAAAAAGCAGTTCCAAATTTTCAGTTATTTCAATTAATCATTTTTATTGTCTTAGTCACTCAATACCCCATTATTGCGCGTAGACCGAGTTTTATTGCTCTTGTACAAAACTCGCTGAGTCATGGAGGAACTTTCTGTGACAATTCAAGCTAGTACAACATTACAATCATTTCCTTGACCAGTAATGGCCTCATAAAATACACCACACATAATTTTGACAATTTTGGAGAAAAATGAACCATTACTCACAGTTTTAGAAAGCAACCACATTACAAACGATCCGAACAGCTGCTGAGAACATTAATAAATCACTGTTTGGTCTGGATATTTTTGTAAGTCTTCAAAATTTTGGTTTCTGTTTGATTGGAATGGGTCCAGGGTTTATCAGGTTTTTGGCTCTTTCATCATTTTTTCCACTCCACCAATCATAGACATCATACATTATATTTAAGATTTGGAAGCACCATAATGGACTGTCTTGAAGATGACATCCATACACCATGTGTTCACTTCATTTTTTTTACCATTGACTACATTTCAGTCCATTCATTAACTTTTCCTCCAAGAAAACAATAAAAGAAAATCAATGCCTACCAGATCTTCAAAAATATTTATGAAAAAGCTGAACATTTTAACCAGATATCTACATTTTGATATGATCTTTAATCCTGGCGCCCCAGGCAGTTATAATGCATGACAAAGAAGATGATAAGCACCCCTCAAATATTTGTGGAAACTATCTTTAAACCTACAATTACTGTAGCTGATTTTCATTGAGAAAGTAAAAGTTCTATTATTCTATCCTTCGGTTTCAGTGTAGGAGTTTGACTTGTGCTTGGGTATGAAGCAGAATCCAGAAGGGACAGGACCTATGAGCATCTCACTGGAAAGAAAAATGCAAAGAAAAAAATTATCAGATTCTTATCATTTTGCACTGATAATTCATCAGACATTAGCAGATCACTTTCCAAAATTTGTAGTAAAAAAATTTTAACATTTCTTTGATTTGAAGAAAACAGCAAAACCATTGGCATCAACTCCAAAAACAGCCCAGAAAGCTACATGTCAGTGTATATTACCCTATGCAGTCATCCTTGTTAAATAATATTTCAATCTTTCTCTTTCTTTATCAGAGTTTAACCTTGATGGTCTTTCAAAACGTATTGCTTTACAAGAACTTTACATCACTGCTTTTTGTGATCTTAAAGGCTATTTTCAAAATTATGTGATGATGATCATGCATTCTGTATCCTTTTCCAGCAAAATTACACAGTCTAGTGAACCACAAACTTTTTATTGTGAAATTCAAATGACGAGAAGGCCCACAAAAAATAATTTAAGCAATAAGAGTTCAGCTTTTAGCTGGTTTTGCTAATTATAACTAAAATAAGCCATTTACATCCTAACATCTGCGTGCATATTCTCTATAATGTTCTCTATGCAATTCCTAAGGTCCAGACAAGTAGAATTTGTTTCCCAGCGGGGAGCTTCTTTCATTTGTAATTAATTCCTTTATTCTTGTGAGCTTAATGTGTAATTTGGGGACGATGTTGTCAAGAGAATTTAGATGCAAGTAACTCTCAGGGATTAAAGAGTTATAAAAAATGCAGTTCATGCAGTACAGTCGAACCTCAATTATCTGGATCTCGATTATTCAGATTTCTTGATTATCCAGACTTTTTCTCCAAAGCCAGTTTTGTTATGAAAATTTATTAGTCATGATCAAGATCTGTAGCCATATTCTTTAAAACTAGAGCATTGAAAAGTGAAGTAAATGCAAGTTTGTTTGGCTTTCAAAAAGCAAAAGTAACGCTTGCACGCATTGTGACTAATGAAGAACATTTGAATGAGTTCTGATGGGCTTAAAGTTGCTTTCTTGCTAAGAGAGATTTCACATGCAATTGGCTTGTTTGGCATGGTATATATGCGATATAAACAAGCTGCACAGTGTCATGAATGTTTATTCATGATCATCTAGTCCATTTGTGTTTTGTTCCACAATTAAATGTCACTTTTGTAATTTAATCAGTTGTTGTTCCTCATTAATATTCATATTATTGATTATCCGGACCCTCAATTATCTGGACTATTTTGTTGAGTCCCAACAAGTCCAGATGATCAAGGTTCGACTGCACTGTCCCTCTGCACTCCTGGCTGGAGAGACTGAGGCATGGTAGGAGTAAAGAGTCTTTCCCCAAGACTCATCATGAGAACCCCACCAGGTTTCCCACCCAGACCTCTTGACCAAGAGTCCAGCAGACCAACTGTTGGGCTACTGTACCTCACATTAAATTAATGGTAAACAGGTGAAGCATTTATTTATAAACAACATATATACCTGCCACAATATACAAACAATGGAATTACCAGAATAAATTGAAGAGGTCAGACAGTTCTGCATGTACTGCTTTACCTTATTTTAACCCAATCAGCAGAGTTTCCACTTGACAACAAAGTTTCCAGATCATTTCGACCAAAATATGGTGGAGGTTTTTCATTGATTCGCTGCGGGAGCCGTTCTAACAGACCTGTAGGAATATACCTAAGAAAATTATAAAGTTAAGAGGAATGCTACACTTTTTGAGCAATCTGTATATTATTTGAAATGCAGTCAATTCCTGTTTGAACTTTTTGTTGAACTTTCTACGCTGTAAGCATATTTATTTACTATCTGAGCAGACTTACCGACATTGAAATGAAAGCCACTCAAGAAGAAACCGCCTTGTGTTTTCAACTCCCTACAGGAAATAATAACAAAATATCCTCATCTACACATGTTGCTGAGTGTGTAGCCAGTTGTGACCAAATATTCACATTATATACCTGAATGTAAAAAACAACTAATGACATACATGTCTAGAATTAATTTAGGGAAAACATACCATTGTATCAGATCCCCAGTGCTCCAGGCCAAAATTGGCAAAATCCCGCAGCATGTCAAAACGTTCATTGGATGATATGTCCCAATGTCTGAAACAAAATAAATCACCATTCATAAGAAAAATGCATACTCTACAATAGCACCATATCAAACAGCTATCAAAATTTAAAACTCCACCAGCTATACATAGATTGTACTCCTGGAAATTTTCATATCTTTGCAAGACATGGTTGCCATTATGAAAGAAAATTAACTGTTATTTTTCATTTTACAAAAGCATCAACTATAAACATCCTCTTTGATTAACAAGAAAGTTCCTACCTGTTTTCTTTTATCTCTGTAAATATCCATGGTTTAATCAGAGCCCCCCTGGAAACAAAGTTGAAAATGTAAGCCATGTGGATTCAAAGGGTCTCCTTCCCATCTATTTTAATATTGTCATTTCACTTCCACGATCTTTTAGTAATTCTCCTCACTGTCTGTCATACAATTCTCATGATGTTAGTTTGGAGAATTTGGTATTGGATCACCTAATAATACTCTAATTGTTTTTTTTAATTCTCATCACTTGACTGCTTGATATTGTATTGATATTGTAAGGAGAAATTCTCTCTTGGTTATGCATTGGATTTGAAGGGTCAATACTGTAAGTATCTTACACTTATATATCTGGTGATGTTTACTTGGATTAATAACTATCTGATGATAGTCATCTCTATGATGGTGAATAAAATTGTATTATACTTAACTACAAAATAATACTAAGAATAATACCCTCCTAAAAGTAATTCCAAAGTATCTTGTAAGTATTACATTGTTTTCAAATCAATCACTGTAAAATTCGTGAAAACATTTACTGGTATGTAAAACTATGCAACCATTTGAACCAAACATCACAAAATATTACACTGCATCAAGTGATAAAAAAAGCTAAGTAATACTATTATTAATATGAATTTCATTAAGATTACAATTCCTGGGAACTACTAAGCATTGTACCTTGCAATCATCAAACCAGATACTCCAGTTTGCTCTCTTCGTAAAACAGCATCTTCATGTGAAAGGATATCTCCATTTCCTGAAAATAACAGAACAAATCAGTAACTTACTTTAAAATCTTGTACATTATAAAAAAAAAAATTCTAGATGAAATCTGTGAATGCTGCAGATAATTTGTTTAACCATTTACACCCTAACATCAGTATGCATATTCTCCATACTGTTCTCTATACATTTCCTAAGGTGCTGACAAGGAGAATTTGTTTGACAATCAAGAGCTTCTTTACTTGGTGATCATCTCCCTCATTCTCATGACCTTCATGCTTGATCCAGGGGTGATAATTTGAGGAGAAATTATATGTTTATCACTCTTAACACTCCTAAATACATGTATGAAAGGTTTCTCAGGATAATTTCACCTTATGGAATATTGAATATCAAAAATTAATTCCTACATTGAAACTGTTTCAAAAGATAGAGAAAAAGTAATAAAGTAAAATTCTCTTACCAAAGAGAGGCATTGGTGCAGCAGCCTTAGCACACTCACTAATGTACTCCCAGTCAGCTAGTCTTGTGTATCGTTGTTCCCTTGAGCGTCCATGGAGCTTCAGAAAAAGACAAAAAGAAAAGGTTTTTCTCAAGCCTAGAGCACAGC